GAAGTATCAAAACAAACAGTAGGCCTTACTCTACAAGATGTGGAATTAAGTATCAAGATAAACAGTAGGCCTTATTCTGCAAAGGTGTGGAGTGAAGTATCCAAACAAACAGTACGCCTTATTCTACAAGGTGTGGAGTGAAGTATCAAGACAAACAGTAGGCCTAATTCTACAAGGTGTGGATTGAAGTATCAAAACAAACAGTAGGCCTTATTCTACAAGGTGTGGAATTAAGTATTAAGACAAACAGTAGGCCTTATTCTACAAAGGTGTGGAGTGAAGTATCAAGACAAACAGTAGGCCTTATTCTACAAGTTGTGATGTGAAGTATCAAGACAAACAGTATGCCTTATTCTACAAGATGTGGAGTGAAGTATCAAGACAAACATCTTTATTCTAATATTGTGTATTATTATGTGCTGTGATCTATAAGTAAATCAACTTGCTATCAACATATGCTTGGTCTTACCTCCACGATCCTGCTCTGCTTGCCACAGACACTGCCACTCTCGCTGCTGCCTTTTCATTGTCCTAACAATGGCTACAGCTAGCCGTAAAGCTTCTTTCTGACATCCATGAGAACGCAGTGCCTCCACTCTAGCACAGGCTGTTGGAATATGTTCTGGAATGCATAACATAGAAACTTTAGCAAAATAACAATTTTTACAGTTTGGTCCTAGGAAATTAAAATGAATACACTGTAAATAACTCAAGAAGGCTAAGCCTAATACTATATAAAGTTTTACATTATAATTACTGGGAAAACATGATTTATATAAATATACAAGCGTAAGTGCGTCAACATAAATAATGACAAAACCTAAAGACAGAACAAAGAATCTCATTGGGGGTTGATAACACATGCACAAATATATTTTATTTATTACACTACACAAAAATATTTTGGGGAAATGTCCTTCCTCAGATGTATATTTTAGTTTACTATATGTGGTGGAAGATATCGTATATAAATATAGAATTTCAAATAATGAGAAATATATAAGTTCTAAATTCTGTATTCTCATAAATGAACTCTAATAGTCCATGCAAATAACCTTAACATATCTATTGTAAAAAACAAACTATAAAAATAATACAGTAGTTTATTCTGTTAAGTTGTAAGTCATATTCTGTTACATGTATAGATGCTGGTAGCAATTGCACAAAACTCTTTAACGAGTGTCGTTCCACAAGGTACGAAAAGAAAAACTTGGATAAAAGATAATAAAGAATAAATTGAAACATATAAATGAAAACCTTTTCTAGGTTATTTTGTGTAACAACGCACAAATTAAACTAGAAAAAGTTTTCATTTAGATGTGTCAATTTATTCTTTATTATCACTTATCCAGATTTTACACACCTTCATTGTTGACAACTCTAAGCTAAATTATCGTATACAACTTTTATTAAAGTGTTATTGCTGATAATTCAAAGAGCTACCTGGCCAAACAAAACATTACAATCCCACAGTAAAGAATCTTAACATAACCATAAAACTAACAGTTTAATGACTATATACATAACTCATCTGAATGTTTGTATCATGCATAACAATCATATATCTTAAAATGACCGTGTGAAATTTCTGTATGTCTTAGTGGATAGTCATGACAGTTAAAAATCCAGATAGAAACTTAGCTCCCATTAAACAAAATTCATGCACTTATCAAGACAAGGAATTCATAAGCTTTACAAAACGTTTTTCAGGACCAAGTGCTAGATATCAAGTACCTAAGATTAAAGGTATCTGATGCCACATTTTTGGCTGGTACTAAGTCTGATAATACATGTTCACCCCTTCCTGTTTGCTCTTCTCGTTGTATCTTTTGTTTAATGTTAAAAAATAGACGTAACAATATCTGGTTATAAAACAATGTTGGTTAGTTTTGCAGTCATTTATGTGTAACTCTTATGTCGATCCCACAGCCCCAAAACATAGTCCGGGCATAATATAACAAGTGGGCCATGCCCGCCCAATAGTTATTCTACCCTATCATCTAGACAGATTTTGTTTAAAAAATTAGTCAAATAGTATATTTCATAACGTGCTAAGTATAAGGAAACTAAACTTTTTATGGCAATATTTCATAACGTGCTAAGTATAAGGAAACTAAACTTTTTATGGCAATATTTCATAACGTGCTAAGTATAAGGAAACTAAACTTTTTATGGCAATATTTCATAATGTGCTAAGTATAAGGAAACTAAACTTTTTATGGCAATATTTCATAATGTGCTAAGTATAAGGAAACTAAACTTTTTATGGCAATATTTCATAATGTGCTAAGTATAAGGAAACTAAACTTTTTATGGCAATATTTCATAATGTGCTAAGTATAAGGAAACTAAACTTTTTATGGCAATATTTCATAATGTGCTAAGTATAAGGAAACTAAACTTTTTATGGCAATATTTCATAATGTGCTAAGTATAAGGAAACTAAACTTTTTATGGCAATATTTCATAATGTGCTAAGTATAAGGAAACTAAACTTTTTATGGCAATATT